TAGTACCAAGCCAAGGGGGGGAAGTCCAGGATGGGTGTTTTGTCGGGAAAAAAGGGAGGGTGACAAGGGAGGGAGGGAGGGAAGCGGCCTACGAGCTCTTTTTCTTTTCCCCCAAAACCCTACTAGTGCTATTGATAATGATCTTCACCACCTCCCCCGTCCCCCGTTCCCCCCCACACACAAAACACACAAAACACCAGCACCCCCCCCCGGAAACAGCCCTTTCCCCCACCCTCAAGTTTCAACCTCCCATGAACAAAAAGGCGAGGACCCAAACCGCTCCCCGCCGCCCTGCCCCTCTACCCGTCCAGGGCTCGCATGATCACCTCGCAAAGCCCGGGCTGTCGTACCAACCTCCCCAACCCAACCCCTCGGACCCCACCTCGCTCCAGAACCATCCTCTCCAGCTCAGCTAGGGTGGTTGCATCCCGGGGGCTCCGATCCTCTCGTACGGCAACCACTCGGGGGAATCGGAGGGAGTAACGGCTCGCGAAGGTGTCGCTGGTGATGGTGCGAACTGGGGATATGGACATGAATGTGTTTGCGGTTATGTACGACACATGAGGGAAAAGGAGTGGTTGATTTGTGTAACCACACCCACAAACTTTCTTCGCTCCCTCCAAAAACTACCCAACCACCCAACTACTCAACCACCCAACCACCTCAGGATCCGGATCCGATTGCCCCTCCTAAGACGCCGCAAAACCCACACACGCGGCGCCCCATTCTCCGCCTTATTCTCCCAACCAACCAACCAACCAACCAACCAACCAACCGAGCCTCCCAGCCTTAACCCGATTGCGCATTGACACATACACACACCCCAAGCTCCCCAACCCCCAAGTCCCCACCCCCCAAGCTCCCCAACCCCCAACAGCAAACCCTAAAACCCAGATCACCCACCATCCGCCTTCACCGTCAGCACCAGACTCCTCAAAGGCTCCCGCACCCACACGTCGGGTCGCTCCCTCGCAGCGCCCGTTAGCCGGTAACAACGAGGAGGCCGTTGACCCGGACCCAGCTCAACTAGCAACGGTCGCAACCGCTCTCGTACAAGCTCAGACTGCTCCGCGTTCAGTCCTGTACCCACGCTGTTGTGTCGTACAGTGCCGTACAGTTTTGTGTTCGCCAGATGGGGCCCGTAGTTTGGAAGGGGGGGATGGGAGGGCCGGGGGGTTGGGACGTGGCGGGTTTTGCGGCTGGTTCTGACACACGCACATACACACGCACATACACACGCACATACACACGCACATACACACGCACATACACACGCACATACACACGCACAAACACACGCACAAACACACGCACAAACACACGCACATACACACGCTGCCCCCTTTCACTCCTCCTCCTTCACTCACCGGCAGAAGCTGACAAAGGTAGACGGTTCCGCCCCCGGCACCCGAGGGGTGTCGGCCAGGGCCAGAAGGTACTCGCTCAAACGCCCGCCACGTCTGTGTCCGAGCATACGTACGACACGTACAACATGTACGTGTACGACATGTGCACGGTAGCATAGGAAATGACGAGGGAGAGAGGGTAATACAGAGCATGGTCGACAGCGGGATGATGGTAATGGCAGTTGGTTCGGTCGGTAGTTGGTAGTTAGTTTACAGATATGGGGGCGAAGGCGGTGCGGGACATAACTGCCTTCCGCAAACACACACACGCACACACACACACATGCACACACACACATACACACACACACACACACATACACACACACATACACACACACACACACACATCACACTGGGTATTCCCCCGCTGGCCCCCCTCCTCTCCCCCCCCCAATCACCTAGCCCCCTCCTCACCTGCCGCCAGTTCCCCACGCCGCCCCGATTACCACCTGACGAATGACCCTCCACGGGTTTGAGGCGGTGGTGGTGTGTGTGTGTGTGTGTTTTGGGGGGGGAGGGCATGTCGGGGCTGATCCAAGGAAAACACAACATAAAAACAAAAGATAAAAACCCTAGGGTTTTTTTTACATACTTTTATTTTTCACTGGCATACCCGGGTGTGGGAAGCAAGCTGAGGATTTGGGGAGCAGGTGGGCAGGCAGGAGGTGAGGGGGGGCTGGTCGGGGCTGCGTTATCGCCCGACACAGACCTCGGTAAGAGGGGTGTTGGGATCCGGCTTTGTACGGATGGTGGTTTTCTCAACCGTCGGTTCGGGGAGTTGCCGTTGGAAGGGGAGCAACATCAAACAGAGATACATAAGGCCCCACACAGGGGGGGGGACGAAACGGGGTACCGGACTCACCGCATCGAACTCGCTGCTGTCCACGTAATCGGGTTTGACCTTGAGCCAGGTTCCGGAGCGGTCGTTGAGCTTGTACGGCGAGTCCAGTGCCTTGATGACGATGCCCTCCTCCTGTCCACACACATACATACAAACATAAATTACATAATACATATATGTTACATGTGCTACATATAAACATGCACTACGTTTGTATATTACATATATACACATATACGCTGTGCTGCGGTTTCGATCCCCTGTAGTATCTTGGATATCACGGAATCTGTCATCCGCCGATCGTTCTTTTCTGCAAAAAGACGTGATACAACATCCCCCCCCTTTTTCGCAACCCACAGTGTAACCCATACAGGCCATACACAGACACGTTTCCGTATCGCCCCTCCAGGTACCCGATCGCATGGGCCGCTTTGCCGTACCTAGGTTGCAGTACAGTGTAGTACATCCCAGTACACGCACACCAGTACGCGCATTCTTACCTGCTTGGCCAGCGCCCGTTCGTACACGTCCTTTATGTCGTCCTCGCCCGTACCTTCCTTGCTGTACACCTCGCCACCTGCAAGGTAAAAAAACGCCGTACACGCCTGTCGTTCTGCGACCATTGGGGCCCCTTAGTAAAACAATACACATGAACATATAACAGCACAAACATATATACATATATATGTATACAGTGTAATCTAAGTCATACATATACACATATATATATATGTATATATGTCTGTGTGTGTTACATGCGCCACACTAAAGCGAAGTGCGGGCAAGGCTTTTGAAATTCCGCTGCAGGTTTGTTGGAGGCTTCTACAATCTTCCCCAACACTTCATTTGTGAGGTCATCAACCACCTTCATCATCTCAACAGCCTCCAACGCTCCGGTGGGGGCGGTGGCAGGGACTGCTGGGCTAGGGGGAGCTATACACCCCCCACACACATACTTCCAACAAACAAACAAACAAACAAACAAACAAACAAACAAAATAATACGCAAATTGGACGGATCTGAACCTGATTTTAGATCTGGATTTGAATCTGGATCTGGATTGGTCTGGATCTGGATTTGGATCTAGTGGTCTCAGGTGGAGCTGCACCTTCCCTCACGTACTTCCCCTCCTTCGCCCCCCCCCCGCCCCTTACCCTCCATATCCCCCACCTACCCAGCAACTTCATCCCGGGCAGTAGCGGTACGGCACGAAACCTGATCACACCCGTAGGGCCCACGGGAAGTCCCTCGGGGGGGCAGCTGCGTAAGGCCCTTCGGAGCAGCTGGTGGCGCTCCTGGACGGAGAGGGGGGGGGAGGG